TTGTCAAAGAAAAGTGGCAACACTGTTAGCCTCACGTCAGATAAATCTACTTATTCTTCCGCGTTCATCAGATAACAACATAAGAACTATGGAGGTCGTTCCAGTGTTTGTTAGTTCGTGACACTCACTTTATCAATGCAAAAAGGGCTTACATTGAAAAAAAAAAACATGCTGGTCATATCTTTTAACTGTTGATGATTTTAATTTTTATGGAATTAGTCTCATTACTTAATTGTCGAACCTTGTATATAAGGATTTTCTCCATGTGTAAACTTTTCATCTCTAAAACTCTAAAAATCATATTCCCATGTGGGTCTCGATACATCATTTGGGGTAGGGTGGAAGTAAGGCGTAGATAAAGCTGGATGGATAGTGCACATCACTCAGGATCACTCACACAAGCGATAAACACCCGATGACACAAAGTGCCACCATGCGGATGAGGATCGCCGTGGAGAGGTCCCAGAAACCGCGTTCAGACAATTGGCCATATTGGTGGCCTGCCTATATTGCAGCCCCTGGCAAAAGCCAGAGTGGGGCTTCAAATAACAAAAAATTACGTCCTAAGAAGGACGTATGGAATATGCCCTGAACGGGGTTTCTAGGAGCAACACCTGTAGATATCAGGACAAAAAGAACAACACACAAATAAGGCGACAACATGTCCCTATCCCACGAAACTGTCCGGAAGTTAAACTGGTCAACAAATGCTAAATAAATATTGATGTGCTTGCCGAAAGGCACAAATATTTCAGCTCTGCTATAAACAGGAACAGCTCATTTACGTCACTTAGACGAACGAAAAGCAGAAGATAAAGAAGAATATGTTTATTCAACGGATCAATATCATGGCACACGGGGTAACCCATAAGTCCTCTGTTCTTTTTCAAACTCAAGCCTGAGACTGAAGAATCACAGGGCAGTGCACAAACTTTGATGCACCGGCGAGGAGCTTGAAATACTTTTGGGTAGATTTTTAACTCCAAATTTTGCCCGGGCAGAGACGTTAGGTTACTCTTTTTGACTTCTAGCTGCAAAGGGATTTTTGAATGTGCGCAACAATACACACTGGCGTCCAATCCTCCTACCCATAGACCAGGAAAAATTGCTAAAAGTCCACATGAAAAAATTCTCAGCCTTCACTAGGGCCTGAACCCGGGACTTCCAGCACTCAAAGCGGATGCCATGCCTTGAGACCACTCAATCCCCCCCCCCCCCCCCCAGTGAATATTAAAAAGAAGAAGATGGGGAAAATATTTTTTAAAAAAAAAGGGTACCACTCGAGTCTAATGAGAAAGATTTCCATGGTGAAAACTGCCCACAAAATCATTATGTGCTTTGATTTTAAGAAAACGTATAAATGACAGAAAATGTCTGTTGTAACGCTACTGTAGAGCTTTGGGAGAGAACCAAGCAAAAAAAAAAAATGCTGGCGTTGGATAGGACACAGATTGAGAAAAATGAAGAACAGCATAACTAGAATGTCTTTGCATTGGAACCCACAGTGTCATAGGAATAAAGGAAGGCCAAAAAACACATGGAGAAGAGAGCTGAAGAATGCAGTTAGAAAGATGGGGAGGACATGGGGAGAGCTCCATGTAATAGCAAAGGATAGAACGACTTAGCGTGAGTTGGTTGAGGGCCTATGCTCCATAAGGGGGTTAGAATGGCAGAAGAAGAAGAACTCTACTGCTAAAACAATATGTGACAAAATGACACTATAATAATAAAACAAAAGAAATAATTGTACAAAAACAACTTCCAGTTTATTAAAATCAATGTATTTTCACAGTAAAACAATGTGGAATTCTGTGTGAATTAAATACCATGTGCATGAATATCACAGTAAAAGCATAAGCAAAACACTAACAAATGCAGTTATTTTTTGAGATTTAAAAAAAAAGGATTTATTATACAGGAAATACAACGCAGTTTTATAATCCAATATTTGCAACAGATTTACTGGCTGTTAATAGAAGGAGCCCATAACCACAGATAGAATCTGTCAAGAGAAAGCAGTCCTTAAACACTGACATATCAAAGCAGAACGCACAGCTGTGAGTCAGAAGGTATATAACTTGGGCATTCTTGTCTGTCTGTTTTCTCCTCCATGCTAGCCTTAAATGGTTACCAGGTAAATTCCTGGGAAGTGAAGATGGCTCCTGATGTTGTCCACATCACCCATCAAGTGCCAGCTGATCTATAAAATATAGGTCTAGCCCTAAACATCCAGTATGCCTGAAGGTGTGGAAAAGGGTCCTTTACATCTAATGGCTACACCAATCACCATCAAATGTACCCTGTAGTCCTGTGTGAGTAAGAAGTTGTGACACACTAATGCAGCGGTTCTCAACCTGCAGTTCACGACCCTTTTTGGGTCGAACCACCCTTTCACAGGGATCGCCTAAGACCATTGGGAAACACATTTTCATTAAAGTTATAAAGGAAAAAAATTGTTTGGGGGTCGCCACAAAATGAAGGAACTATTAAAGGTCGCGGCATTAGGAAGGTTGAGAGCTACTGCACTAATTGTATAGAACACTTCATGTATTAGAAGAATCAACAAGAAAAATAACAAGAAACACAGACACCTTTTCTGTATCTTGAAGATCCCCATGTCGATTCGGGGGCCTCATTTTATGGGGGGGGGGGGGGGGGGGGACAGACTCACTGCCCCCCCCTTCCCCAGCATATTGTAAAAGGTTGACTAATTAGTGAGGTTCCCTTCTGAGAGGCAAGGAACCAACAATCTGCACACTTGTTTTTAGCATTCTCTGGCTGCAAACTCTAGCTTATTTGTATGCAGATTGCTGGTTCAACAACTTTTAGGCAGATGCACTGTGAATCTGAAGGAGAAAAAAATGGGGCCCCAGAACCCATATGAGAAAGTCTGCATAAGTTGGATCGGTAAAACAGATGCGCATGCAAAACTCAAGTTCTGGAACAAGACTAAAGTCCAGAAGTGAAAGAACAGTCAGTACATTCTAACAAAGTTTACAGCTAGTGAATGCTAAGAAGAAGAAAAAAAATGTTGAAGCACTGCAATGATGGTTAAATAGGGGCTGCGTTAGCGCAGTCGATAGGAGACTCGCTTTCAAATCCAGCTGCAACTAGCTGCAGTCCACGGCCAGTGTTCAAAACCGGGCGGTTCCCGGTGTTCACCCAGCCTCTAGGTAATGGGTACCAGAGTTAACGGTCTGGGGTAAATAGAGGAACATCGCTGTAGCTACGGAGTTGCATGTGGACGGCGACACAGGTAGACAGTTTCTTATCAGCCGTCTGTACTGGTGGCAGGGCACTTATGGTTTATAACCATGTGCAATGACACTGGTTTACATCTCCCGACTTTACCTCTAATAATGGTTGAATGTCTGATTCATTAGTCTAAAGAACAATAAGAATCTGCTTAGCTGCTGGTTAAACAATCCAGGAATGCTAACCTCATCCAATTGACAAAAGTTGACGGTGTCTGCCTGAACATACAAACACTGCAGTTCTGTCATAAAAAAGGCACATCACAATTACATTCATAAACAAATGAAATTAAAGGAATCATTTATGTTAACCCCAAAAATATCAGATCAAACACATCCCTCTACTAGACATTTGGTTTGGCAATTTCCAATTATCTTAGTCACTGGCAATTAATGTGGTGGTTTCCTTTGTCCACAGTTATAATGGTTTGGTCATGTATGCAGAATGGGAGAGAATCAGCTACCATGGCATGCATGTGTAGCTAGGAATCTGGGAAACAGACCATCAGGGCGACCCAGGTTCGCTGGGAAGACAACATCCGACAGTCCCTGACTGATGAAGGACTGGAATGGAACAAAGCCTAAAAGAAAACTGCTGATAGAGACGTCTGGTGATCTCTCTAGAAAACCTCTAAACCCCAAGGTAGAAGAGGATTGGCTAAGTAAGTAAGGTTTCATTTGTGGCCCACCTCCCAGCCCACAGGAGAGTTTTCACATGCTACAAGTATTCTTAAAACTGCTGATGGAGAAGTCTGGTGATCTCTCTGGCAAACCTCTACACCAGCGGTTCTCAACCTGTGGGTCGCAACACTCATTTGCATCAAAGCACCATTTCTATGGGGTCACTAAAGACCATTGGAATGCACATATTCATTGAGGTTATGAAGAAGTAACAAAAATAATTATATGTTTGGCGCCGCCACAACATGAGGAACTGTATGAAAGGGTCGACACAACATGAGGAACTGTATGAAAGGGTCGACACAACATGAGGAACTGTATGAAAGGGTCGCCACAACATGAGGAACTGTATGAAAGGGTCGCCACAACATGAGGAACTGTATGAAAGGGCCGCCACAACATAAGGAACTGTATGAAAGGGTCGCCACAACATGAGGAACTGTATGAAAGGGTCGCCACAATATGAGGAACTGTATGAAAGGGTCGCCACAATATGAGGAACTGTATGAAAGGGTCGCCACAACATGAGGAACTGTATGAAAGGGTCGCCACAATATGAGGAACTGCATGAAAGGGTCGCCACAACATGAGGAACTGTATGAAAGGGTCGCCACAACATGAGGAACTGCATGAAAGGGTCGCCACAACATGAGGAACTGTATGAAAGGACAGGAAGGTTGAGAACCATTGCTCTACACCCTAATGTAGAAGAGGAACGATTTAGTAAATAAGTACAAGTATTCTACTGTTTGCAGTTTTTCTTAGTTTAGAAATGGTTCCAGCATATGCTGACTAAATACTTTATGATTTCCAAAATGACCAAGTAAATTTAAAGTGTGCAAATTTGTGGGTTTTACCTGAGAAAGAAAAGCATCCCATCCACTCCCAAGCAAAAATGTGTGGGCAGTTATATAGCCAGATTTCTGTGTAGTGACGTGTTTAGTAGAACTCTACCAGTTATTTTAATAGATCTTAGTGCAATATGTATTGGCAAGCAAATAAAATGTCTTTCAAGATTATCTGGGGAAATTCTTACACACAAAAATTATCGGTTTCATTGAACACTCAGTGCAGCAAGGGAACATCGTCATTGTCTTCTGCTGGGATAATTTCATTGTTTTCACCATTGGGCCTCACAGTCTGATCATTATCCGGTTGGTCTGCGTGTAGATGATCATTGTTTACTCCTTCCATTGGATTGTTGTTTTCACTTCTTTCCAAACATGATGCAAATGGCAGAGGTAATATGTTGGCATAAATTAGAGCCCCAATGGCAATAACACAGAGTCCGGGCACCTGTGAATGATAAAATGGTTTTATTTCTGATTGGCATTGATTTCACAGCATACATTAGACGAGTGTTCTATGGCCCACTGGTGGGCCATGGAAAAGTCTAAGCAGACAATCAAAGAAAATGTCTGCCTAATCATATAACACGAAAAGAATATCAACCTCTGAATAATAGAGCTATCATGTTCTTGGTCGCTTTGTTTTTTCTTTTTCAAAATTCCTATTTGTGTGAAAAGACCTTCTCTGCCACGTCATAATAAAAACCAGTGGATGTTATTGTAGTGCTTGATCTATCAGAAACAAAGCTTTAGCAATGTATAAAAAACTTTCAAAGGTTGCCTTAGCTGAAAATTTTAATTTTGTGACACTGAATTTAACAAATAAACCACTATATACGTATTTTTTTTTGTTTCTGTGTTTGACTAACTGTCAGGTGGGTCATGAAGTTTCCCGCATGTAGGGACACTGCACTAGACAACTAGAAAACTGTATATACACTGCAATGTGAAAGGTTACATTCAATAGTTTATATTCAGTAACATTCAAATAATATCAGTTTTATTGAAAGTACAAGGGTTCTTTGACACTCGACCAATTTCTTCTTTTGGCATACTGCTCATGCTGTAAAGCCGGGCTATTCAACTGACAGTCTGTGGCTGAAATCTGGCCCATGGAGGACTAGCAAGTGGCCTGTGGAGAACTAACAAGTGGTCCATGGAGGACTCTCTCAGGTCGACCCAGCCTTAAGTGGGTACTGGGTGCAGTCCCAGGAAGTAAAGGCAGCCGGCATGATGCTGACCACATCACCCATCTTGTGCCAATTGGTCAATAAAATATAGGTATACATACCCTATATGCCCTTTACGCCTAAAGGCATGGAAAAGGGTTCTTTACTTTTTACTTTTTTTTTTACCATGGAGGACTAGCAAGTGGCCAGTGGATCATTACCAGTTGTATTGTATTATTGATCTATGTTGGGGCTCGGGCTTATGGCCTGTGACGATCTTAATTTTCAAAACTGTGGCCCCTGAGTAAATTTAGTTGAATTGGTTTTTATAGATCCTCACGCAAGACTCCTGCCACACGTCCTCATCATGCACCATGGAAAAGGGCTCACCTTTGTTACCTGCTGTAAAGCAGAGAGGACTTTGATGTAGTTTTCTATCTTTTATAGGATGTTTTTTTCATAAAATTCACAATTTCTACCTACTTTTGCCCTAAACCACAGATGTTAACTATGGCCATTGTGAGTATCAGGCTAGATCATGTGCCCTGAGTTTCAATAATCTGATTTAAGATTTTCTTGAGCTTATGTGTTTGAACAATTAAATCCACCAATAGTTTGCTGGGCCTGTCCAAGAATCATTTATAAATGCACAATTTATCAAACTAACATTTTTATTCCATTTTCTTATTCTTTTTGCAGCCCAAATGAGCATCATCTTTGACAGGTGGTAACTCATGAAACAGTTCTGTCTCCTTACATCTCTTTGTGTTCCTCAACGTCGTTGTCACTGCACTGAATTAGACCATGACAACCTGCCACTCTCAGTGTTCTGGTCTGGCAGAAATGTCCATATGATAAATGTCTTATGGCACAGAAACAAAGTCATGAATGTCTGACCTAAATAAAAAGTCCTATTAAGTGGTGGAAAGGTTCACATGCCCAGCTCACAAGAGTGCAGGACCTAAAAGGGGGAGCAATGCCAGATGTATGCTTTGCCGTACTGTCTTGCTATGTTTCCAGATGAAACAACATGAAAAGGTGTCTAACATGCCCAAGAAAAATGTACCTATTTGTGTGGCAATCGATGTCCCAGACCTGGGAGCTGCTCCTTGCTGATCTCCGGTGAATGCAACCCATGATGATTGGAAAGCTCAACATTCGGACATGAGGTTAAGTAGTCATGTGTAGGACAAGACAATTCCTTGGATGAGCCCAGGTTCAGAGCATTATGTGTTGGCTCTTTATTTATGGAAGCCTCCTTGGATGGCTGGGAATGTCCGTGATCTGTCTCTACCTTCTCTTGAGGTCTAACCTATCTACATGTGAATGCCCTGGGCGGGATCTCCAGGGGCAACACCTGTAGATAAGGGGCAAATGTTCTTGTCTCACGAAACTATCTGGGAAATCAACCCGCTCAACAAAAGCCTGATGAAGTGGGACGTGTCATCCAAAAGGCTCAAATATCATAACCTTGCTATAAACAGGCACAACCCACTTAATCCCTCAGACGAACAAAAAGAAAAAAAAAGAATGTGCCACTACACTGGAGGTTTACTGTCCAAGGTTTTAATACCGTTTGTCATACATCATCATGGTAGCTTCTTCCAGTCATATCTTGATGTGGCCCATTCACCTTCTTACTCTTGCCCACTTCACCACTATGATTCCCTAATGCATGTCCTTTAACTGGGAGTCTCAGTGACAAAGTTATTCAACTATCTGCGTCATACACTTTCTTTAACTTCAACAGTTATTAAAGTTAAACAATCCCTCATACATTTCTTGTAACTGGAGGTGTCAGAGACAAAGTTACTGAACAATCCCTTATACACTTCCTGTAACTGTGGGTCGGTGACAAAGTTATCAAACAGCCCCTCAAACAATTTCTGTATGGGTTGTCAGTGATAAAGTTACTGAGCAATAACCACAGGTGTAATAATAATGATGAGTGTGATAGTGGGGAGTGTGGCCACAGGGGAAGTAACTGGTTGGTGTGATCAGGTATTTTTTTGGGGGGTCTTTTTCTAGCTGTATGCAATGGTACACAATACCGGCACAAGAGGCATCATGTTTTTAGTGCTATTGTAATAGACACTTTTTATTCACTTTATGGTGAGTACAGGCACCTTATTTTTCTGTATGTGACAGTGATGAGTGTGGCCACAAGTGTGATAATGATGAGTGTAGAAACAGGTGTGATAATGATGAGTGTGGCCACAGGTGTGATAACGATGAGTGTGGCCACAGGTGAGATAATGATGAGTGTAGAAACAGGTGTGATAATGATGAGTGTGGCCACAAGTATGATAATGATGAGTGTAGAAACAGGTGTGATAATGATGAGTGTAGAAACAGGTGTGATAATGATGAGTGTAGAAACAGGTGTGATAATGATGAGTGTGGCCACATGTGTGATAATGATGAGTGTGGCCACAGGTGTGATAACGATGAGTGTGGCCACAAGTATGATAATGATGAGTGTAGAAACAGGTGTGATAATGATGAGTGTAGAAACAGGTGTGATAATGATGAGTGTAGAAACAGGTGTGATAATGATGAGTGTGGCCACAGGTGTGATAATGATGAGTGTGGCCACAGGTGTGATAACGATGAGTGTGGCCACAGGTGTGATAATGATGAGTGTGGCCACAGGTGAGATAATGATAAGTGTGGCCACAGGTGTGATAACGATGAGTGTGGCCACAGGTGAGATAATGATGAGTGTAGAAACAGGTGTGATAATGATGAGTGTAGAAACAGGTGTGATAATGATGAGTGTGGCCACAGGTGTGATAATGATGAGTGTGGCCACAGGTGTGATAACGATGAGTGTGGCCACAGGTGTGATAATGATGAGTGTGGCCACAGGTGTGATAATGATGAGTGTGGCCACAGGTGTGATAATGATGAGTGTGGCCACATTTGTGGTAGTGGCTGGTGTGATTATAAATGTTCAAGTAGTGGACAGGTAATGTTGTAGTTTTTGTTGTACACAAACCTGAGCTATGAAGAAATTTTCCCAGTGTAAGAACAGGCAGATGGTCCAGTAGATGCCCCAGGTAAATGTTTCTATGACGATTCTGGGCAAGGCCCCCTGGTCTCGGATCAAGAACATTCCCAGGTATGTGTACAATATGTAGCTGACCAATGAACCTGCAACATTCCAAGGAAAAGTAAACTGGTGCTCAAAACTAAATATTCCTGGGTAACTTTACAATTAAAAGGAATGCCTGTTAGGATGACAATTTAAATGTGTTCTATCAGTGTACCAAGCTTAAATAAATCTTCACAGTCTAGAGAGAGAGAAAGAATGACTCTATCAATGTGTTCTATCAGTGTACCAAGCATAAATAAATCTTCACAGTCTAGAGAGAGAGAAAGAATGACTCTATCAATGTGTTCTATCACTGTACCAAGCATAAATAAAACTAAACAGTCTAGAGAGAGAGAAAGAATGACTCTATCAATGTGTTCTATCAGTGAACCAAGCATAAATAAATCTTCACAGTCTAGAGAGAGAGAGAAAGAATGACTCTATCAATGTGTTCTATCACTGTACCAAGCATAAATAAATCTTCACAGTCTAGAGAGAGAGAAAGAATGACTCTATCAATGTGTTCTATCAGTGTACCAAGCATAAATAAATCTTCACAGTCTAGAGAGAGAGGGAGAGAATGACTTGATTAATGTGTTCTATCAGTGAACCAAGCATAAATAAATCTTCACAGTCTAGAGAGAGAGGGAGAGAATGACTTGATTAATGTGTTCTATCAGTGAACCAAGCATAAATAAATCTTCACAGTCTAGAGAGAGAGAATGACTCCATCAATGAGTTCTATCAGTGAACCAAGCATAAATAAATCTTTACAGTCTAGAGAGACATAATGACTATCAATGAGTTCTATCAGTAAACCAAGCATAAATAAATCTTCATAGTCTAGAGAGAGAGAAAGAATGACTCTATCAATGAGTTCTATCAGTAAACCAAGCCTAAATAAATCTTCATAGTCTAGAGAGAGAGAAAGAATGACTCTATCAATGAGTTCTATCAGTAAACCAAGCATAAATAAATCTTCATAGTCTAGAGAGAGAGAAAGAATGACTCTATCAATAAGTTCTTTCAGTGTACCAAGCATTAATAAATCTTTACAGTCTAGAGAGAGAGAATGACTCTATCAATGAGTTCTATCTGTGAACCAAGCATAAATAAATCTTTACAGTCTAGAGAGAGAGAGAATGACTCTATCAATGAGTTCTATCAGTGTACCAAGCATAAATAAATCTTTACAGTCTAGAGAGAGACAGAATGACTCTATCAATGAGTTCTATCAGTGAACCAAGCATAAAGAGATCTTCACAGTCTGGAGAGAAGAATGGTGCAGCAGGCAGTAACTAGGGGATCTGGTCGAGACTTAACACTCAGAGGAAAGGAAAAACAGACATTTAATCCTCTTAGCATTCGCCGGCTGTAACCTCTGATGGAAAGTTCTGGTTGTTTGTCCACTTCTGGACTTAAGTCTTGTTTTTGAATTTTGTGTAGACACCCATTTTAAAGATCTGGCTTACTTGTATGTACACTGCTGGTTCCTCACCACTTTGACAGATGTGCCCTGTAATGACTGCCCTTTTGTGTCTCCTCCACACTGGCTATCTGTGGTGCAGAGTTAACACTGGCTCTAATGTCTAGAGGTTCACAACTCAATCAAAGCAGACATGATCCTCTTCATGGTCACACAACATCTAACAACGGTTAACACCAGCGGCACATTTCACGAGTTTATTTACACGTTAGCTCAATACACAAATCACAGGTGAATCCACTTACAGCGTTCGGACAATAGACGTTGACATATTCACAGCTGGCTTTGACAATCAAACAGGGTACCATCACAGCTGGCCTTCTCGATCATTCATTCCTCGCCGATTCAGATCCACATGCTCTAGTCATTCTCCATTCATATTCACAGCTTCATTTTCCATCCTTTCTCTCTGGGGCCCAGTCACCGAATGCCCGCCTGATTCTCAATCCCCCAGATCTCCTCATTCACACGTGACTCACTCTTTCCTGTCGTTTCACCATATCTCCGTGAAACCCATGCTCTCAGGGACTTCCCCAGTTATGCCAATCATCCCCTGACATTATCCCTATTTATAACATCATTACATGCCCCATCTTCAGAGAAAAAGTCCCTAATAAGTCATCATTAACGACATGCTTGGGAAGCAATTGGTATATTGTCACCCTGCCTCCCCAAATGAGGCCCCAGAACCCAGGCAGGACATGTAATCAAACTGCTACCAGTACCATTGAAACTGAGAGTCCTGTATTGGCTGCTGAAGATGAGGACAGAGTGCTAATGAGAATGTACTAAATACTGTACGTCAGTACATAACTCAAGTCAACACAGTGTACCAACCTTGACATAAAGATGTGAATCATGAACAATGAATAGAACCCAGCAGTTTCAGCCATTTCTAATGATCGATTCATTGACATACATACACACAATTTATTTTGCTAATGTGGTAGAGGAAACATACACATACAAACAATTTATTTTGCTAATGTGGTGGAGGAAACATAAGATACAGACAATTTATGGTACAAATCTGGTGGAAACATAAGATACAGACAATTTATTGTACTAATGTGGTGGAGGAAACATACAGATACAGACAATTTATTTTGCTAATGTGGTGGAGGAAACATACAGATACACACAATTTATTTTGCTAATGTGGTGGAGGAAACATACAGATACACACAATTTATTTTGCTAATGTGGTGGAGGAAACATACAGATACACACAATTTATTTTGCTAATGTGGTGGAGGAAACATATAGATACAGCCAATTTACTTTAACTCTTTAAGTCCCAAGGAACGCATCATGCATAGAAGCCCAATGAACGCATGATGCACGGATTTTATTACTGTCTTTACTACCCCCTGGGCCTGTGATGCTAAACCCTCTGGGACTCAAAGAGTTAATAAAAGTTAAAGGTTAAAGTCGAGAGGATCGACTTCACTGCACCAGGTTTGATCCCGTATGCTCGGCCTCTCTCCGCAGAACAGCTAGCCGCCTGTCGACAGCACCACACACAGCACAAACTCTGTAGCTCCAGCAACGATCTTCATTTATTTTAATAACTTGGTGGATGAAACATACAGAGGCAGACAAAATATTTGACTAATCTGGTAGAGGAAACATATAGATACAGACAATTTATTGTACTAATGTGGTGGAGGAAACATATAGATACAGACAATTTATTGTACTAATGTGGTGGAGGAAACATATAGATACAGGCAATTTATTGTACTAATGTGGGGGAGGAAACATATAGATACAGGCAATTTATTGTACTAATGTGGGGGAGGAAAAATATAGATACAGACAATTTATTGTACTAATGTGGTGGAGGAAACATACAGATACAGACAATTTATTGTACTAATCTGGTGGAAACATATAGATACAGACAATTTATTGTACTTATATATAGATACAGACAATTTATTGTACTTATCTAGTGGAGGAAACATAGATACAGGCAATTAATTGTACTCATGTGGTGGAAACATATAGATACAGGCAATTTATTGTACTAATCTGGTGGAAACATATAGATACAGACAATTTATTGTACTTATATATAGATACAGACAATTTATTGTACTTATCTGGTGGAGGAAACATATAGATACAAGCAATTTATTGTACTAATGTGGTGGAAACATATAGATACAGGCAATTTATTGTACTAATCTGGTGGAAACATATAGATACAGACAATGTATTGTACTTATCTGGTGGAGGAAACATATAGATACAAACAATTTATTTTACTAATGTGGTGGAGGAAACATAGATACATGCAATTAATTGTACTCATGTGGTGGAAACATATAGATACAGGCAATTTATTGTACTAATCTGGTGGAAACATATAGATGCAGACAATTTATTGTACTTATATATAGATACAGACAATTTATTGTACTTATCTGGTGGAGGAAACATATAGATACAGGCAATTTATTGTACTAATGTGGTATAAACATATACATACAGGCAATTTATTGTAATAATCTGGTGGAAACATACAGATACAGACAATTTATGTACAAATCTGGTGGAAACATAAGATACAGACAATTTATGGTACAAATCTGGTGGAAACATACAGATACAGACAAATTATTGTACTAATCTGGTGGAAACATACAGATACAGGCAATTTATTGTACTCATCTGGTGGAAACATACAGATACAGACTATTTATGGTACTAATCTGGTGGAAAAATACATATACAATTTATTGTACTAATCTGGTGGAAACATACAGATACAGACAATTTATTTCAATAATCTGGTGAAGGAAATACTAACAATTTATTCTACTAATGTAGTGGAAGACAACACTAATCATCCATAGCAGATCCTGTAATGAACATCACTCTAATCAAAGGGAGCCGCAGTGGTCTAGCGATGAGACGCTCGGCTGCTGATCGGAAGGTTGTGGGTTCGTTTCCTAGCAAGGGGTGAATTTTTTTTTTTTTTAATGACCTTGGCTCCCAGGTCGACCCAGCCTTAAGTGGGTACCTGGGAAGTAAAGGCGGACGGCCTGATGCTGACCACATCACCCACCAAGTGCCGCTTAGTCTATAAAGTATAGGTCTAGCCCTATATACCCAACAAACCTGAAAGGTGTGGAATAGGGTCCTTTTTTTAAAAATTATAATCAAAAGTACACCTGATATCAAGTTGGACCCCTGTCAACCTTACTGCCTCTCATGCCAAGGCTGCCTGTTTTATTTAGTGTTCACCACCATACTAGTCTGAACCCTATCACTTCTTTCTGAAAGAATTCCTGTCATCACTTTTCTTTTCAAACCATTAAGTGTTTAATATGGTCAAAGTATTTCAATTTCCCAGAAAGGATACAATTCATCTTTTACTCTCCTTTTTTGTTTAAAGTTCAGTGGCTGCAAACTCTGGGGGAAAGTTGTTGGCCAACTTCTGGACTTTGGTCTTGTTCCAGAACTTGAGTTTTGTGTGCACATCTGTTTTACAGATCTGGTTAATCTGTACGTGGACTGTTGATTCCCTGCCCCTCAAACAGACGCCCTCTGACTTTGAAGGCAACACCCCTAATTAGTTGCTTTTTGACTACTGTGTGGGTTCTGGGGCAAAAGAACAAGAACAGAACCACTGCCTGCCCAACTAGCATGTCGTAAAAGTTGACTTATTGGGGGGTTCCTTCAAAGTCAGAGTGCATATGCCTGAGAGGCAAGGAACCAACAGATCTGTAAAATGGATGTGCATGCAACATTCAGGTTCCGAAATTGGACTACAGTCCAGCAAGTGGACAAACAGCCAGAACTTTCTGCCAGAGTTTCTAGCTGGTAAACAAGAAGAAGAAGGACAAGTTGCTTTTGGGGTAGAGAGGTCCTGAACCATGCCTAATGGTGCATCAGGACCAAGGTTCATGCTTTTAAAGACCTATGTACACTTCTCATCCCAGAAAAAAGTTCTCAGCCAGAAACCTGGCCAGTAGGTAGGATTGATGTTTCCAAAGAAAGTCAGAGCACATCTGCCCAGGAGGCCACGAACCATAGTCTACACCATTTTATAGTACAACTTCTTTCATAATCACAACCCAAATCAAAGCAAAATGTGCAACATTATATATTTTACATCCTGATTATTTAGATAACTAAATGATATATTATATCTGACTGATTTGTAGTAGTAGTACTTTAAAAAAATATCGTTTTCAATACTTAGGGTTATAATTGGGATATATAGTGTGATTTAAGTTTGCAGAGTATATATATATATATATATATACTCTGCAAACATAAATCACACTATATATCCCAATTATAACCCTAAGTATTGAAAACGATATTTTTGAAAAGTACTACTACTACAAATCAGTCAGATCTGTAAAATGGATGTTCATGCAAAACTCAAATCCTGAAACAAAACCACAGTCAAACAACCAGGACTTTCTGCTGAAGTTTACAGTCAGTAATAACCTCGCTGAGGTAAATGGTGGAAGAGAAGAAGAAGAAGAAGAAGAAGAAGATCACTCCTTGTAGCTGTCATAACACTGTCTGAACCTACTCTTTTCACAAGGGAACCCAAAATATAATTGTGGTCAGAATTGGCCTTTTACATGCTCACGTCACCACTTAGAGATCCAAATACTCTCCTCTGCAATATTTGTGTAGTTCACTTCATGTTTGACAAAGGCTGCCAGCTGAAACGTTATTTGTGTTGTTTTGTGCACGTTTTTCTGCTTCCCCCTGGAACCCACATGGGAAAATATAAGCTTACATTATCTTTGAACCCCTGTGTGGGTTCTGGGATCCCATTGTGGGGAAAACAAGAATAGACCGACTGCCTCCCCAGCAAGCATGTTGTAGGAGTCGACTAATTGGAGGCATCCTTCAAAGTGAGAATACATCTGTCTGAGAGGCAAGGAACCAAGAGTTTGCATACAAATAAGCCAGATCTGTGAAACGGATGTACAGCAACACTCAGGTTCTGGAATAAAACTAAAGTCTGGAGGTGGATGAACACCCAGAACTTTCCACTAGAGTTTACAGGCTGGTGAATGTGAAGGAAGGGAAACATTATCTTTGAAATGGTACCCCTAAATTCAGATTTTCTCTATCCGAGCTTAGTAAAATAAAGTGAGCTGGAAGAGCATGAAATGTCTGCTCAGATATGATCTATTTGGCCACCTTACCAATCACAGCCAGAACCGCATGCCACGAGTTGCTAAGTTGAAGCACAAAATCTTTGACATCCTCCAGTCGTCCATTTGGCAGGCTGCTGTACTGCACTGCATCAGCAAAGTTGAATGCCAAGAGAAGCACAATTGCAAAGAAACTACCATAAACTCCTAAAATACAGAAAAAAAAGAAGAAAATAATTGAATAAATAAACTCAAAGACATCATTAGGTAGTAACATTTCTGTAATTACAATGTCATTTTCTGTGTCTTACTTGTAAAATACTAAATAAATCTGTATGTTTATGTCTCCCTAAATGTTTATAGCATACTAGACAATTATTATTAAAGTGGTGAATTTAAGTTTTTCTTAATGGCTTACAATATACTAGACAATGCTTAAAAAATATGTAAGTTTATATCTTGCTGGTCCCAAATCCGGATGAGAAAGGAGGAGGGTTAGGTTTGGGGGCCAGCTCAAACCACTTGTATTTGCTACAGAAACTTTCAGGAAAAAACACACAACTGAATGAATTTAAAAGGAGTAAAGAAATAAGAGAAATGTCTGGGCAACTACTAGTATGAACAGTTATAAGACAGAGAAGACAGAACTATACTGGACACATTCTGAGAATAGAAGAACAGAGAATCACCAAACAGGCACTGGAAAAGGAAAAAGATGGACTGAAAAAAATGAGGACATCCAAGAGAAACACGAAGGCAAACACGGATGAGAGAGGCCAAAGGTGCCGGACTGGATTCCATCCGAGTGATTACACAAGATAGAATAGAAAGGAGAAATAGACTATGTGCCCTGTGTGACATAAAGGCACAACAGAACAAAGAAAGAATGAATGAACAATTTTATATCTTGGCCAGACTGCAGTGATGTTCCCTGTTCCCAGGATCACCACATGAAGGTGGAGTGTCTTGTTCAACTGATGACAGATCCCAAAGATTATGATGACCTTTCTATAAAATATTACTATTACTGACCTTCCTATCCCAAAGAATATGATAACCTTTAAAACATCACTACCATCAGCCATTTTCTTCCCAAAGATTATGATGATCTTCTATAAAACATCACTACCACCACCCATTCTCTTCCAATAGATTATGAGGACATTCTATAAAACATCACTACCACCACCCATTCTCTTCCCAAAGATTGTGATGATCTTCTATAAAACATCACTAGACCACCCATTCCCTTCCCAAAGATTGTGATGAAATTCTTTAAAACAGCACTACCACCACCCATTCCCTTCCCAAAGATTGTGATGATCTTCTATAAAACATCGCTACACCACTCATTCCCTTCCCAAAGATTGTGAAGAAATTCTATAAAACAGTACTACCACCACCTATTCCCTTCCTAAAGATTATGATGAAATTCTATAAAACAGCACTACCACCAGCCATTTCCTTCCCAAAGATTATGATGACCTTCTATAAAACATCACTACCACCACCTATTCACTTCCCAAAGATTGTGATGATCTTCTATAAAACATCACTACCAACACCCATTCTCTTCCCAAAGATTATGATGATCTTCTATAAAACATCACTACCACCACCTATTCCCTTCCCAAAGATTATGATGACCTTCTATAAAACATCACTACCACCACCCATTCCCTTCCCAAAGATTATGATGATCTTCTATAAAACATCATTACCACCACCCATTTCCTTCCCATTGATTATGATGATCTTCTTTAAAACATCATTACCACCAGCCATTCCCTTCCCAAAGATTATGATGACCTTCTATAAAACATCATTACTACCAGCCATTCCCTACCCAAAGATTATGATGATCTTCTATAAAACATCATTACCACAAGCCATTTCCTTCCCAATGATTATGATGATCTTCTATAAAACATCATTAACACCAGCCATTCCCTTCCCAATGATTATGATGATCTTCTATAAAACATCATTACTACCAGCCATTCCCTTCCCAAAGATTATGATGATCTTCTATAAAACATCATTACTACCAGCCATTCCCTTCCCAAAGATTATGATGATCTTCTATAAAACATCACTGCCACCACCCATTTCCTTCCCAAAGATTATGATGAAATTCTATAAAACAGCACTACCACCAGCCATTCCCTTCCCAAAGATTATGATGACCTTCTATAAAACAGCACTACCACCACCCATTCCCTTCCTAAAAATTATGATGATATTCTATTAAACATCACTACCACCACCCATTCCCTTCCTAAAGATTATGATGATCTTCTATTTCTACAGTATGAGAAATTAGAAAGATTACAAAGTTACCCAATGCATTTTAAATTTCAAGACAGAACAAAAAACAGACTTAAGCGTCAGTGCCCCAACCACCTTGCTAGAGAGCTGTACAGACAGCATCAAGATTGCCTCAAAGAGATGTTACATCGTGTGAAAAGCTTAGGCCAGAACCATGGACAAGTAAGCCAGAGAAGGCAAATGTAGTCCTAAAAGTACCAGGGATCACTTCAAAAGAGGGAGACACAACAGAGAACCCTGGCTCTTGCTATGCTTGAAGAGAAGTATCCCAACACCATTTGGACTCAGGTTTTCACTGATGGCTCTGCTACAGATGCAGTCAGAAAAGGGTGTGAAATATACATTAAACCCCATAGCAGCAGAGCTGAAAAACTCTCTATATACAAGCAGGTGATATCTGCACTAACTACATAGCTGAGGCAACTTCCCTCCTTTCAGCAGTCCAGCACCTTATTACTCAAGAACACAGAGGGCACAAAATTGTTATACTTAGTGACTCACTGTCTGTTCTTCAAGCACTATCAAGCAAGAAAAAAGACAAACAAATTACAGATCTAAGAACCAACACTAACTTGCCATCCAAGGAAACAGAACTTGTGCTGAAGTGGATACCAGCCCACTGTGGCATTTAAGGAAATGAGAGAGCGGATGAGCTGGCAAAAGTTGGGAGTAATCTTCCACAACCTCACCCACCGCAGAGCTACAAGGAAACCAAAACAGCCCTAAAGCAGTCTTTCAAGGGGGAGTGGAGAAGGCAGAATAGAGGTTACAGACAAAAGAGTGACAGCATCAACAAACTCAACAGGAAAGAACAAACATCAATATTTAGGCTTTGGACAGGACACTGTGGTCTCAGAGCATACCTGCAGAGAATAGGCAGAAAATAATCTGCTGCCTGTGATTGTGGAGCAAAAAAACAGACTCCTGAGCACATACTGCAGTACTGCCCTAACTACTCACAGCAAATATTGCGGATCTGGCCCCAAGGGAGCTACACTACAAGAGAAGCTGTGGGGGACCTGCGGCGATGTTAACTATTCGTGACCCAGACGGGACTCAATGTTTAACATGGCTGATGTCAAACACAGAAGAAGAAGAAGAAGATGACTACATCTCTAAAACATCACTACCACCCACCATTCCTTTCCCAAAGATTATTATGACCTTCTGTAAACATTTCTATCACTGGCCTTCACATCCCAAAAATTATGATGACTTTCTCTATAAAATATCACTTTCACATCACATCACCTTCATGTCCCAAAGATTATAAAGACCTTCTATAAAACATCACTGTAACCAACCTTCACATCACAAAGATTATGATGACCTTCTATAGAACATCACTATCACTGATCTTCACATCCCAAAGACTAGGATGACCTTCTATAAAACATCATTATCATTCACCTGCACATCACAAAGATTATGATGACCTTTAAAATAAAAACAAACAAGTTCACTATCACTCACCTTCACATCCTAAAAACACCATTGGGTGGGTGAAATGTTTGCGTATGAACTTCTGTTCATAAATGATTTTAGTGGCAAACATGATTTGTGCCATCAAGATTAGCAGGTCACCTGAAAAACATGAATTGAGCATAGAATTAAGCATTGATTATTGTATATTTTATAAAGAGCTTCAGTATCCATTCCTTACTGAAGTCATTTTCTTTCTGTTGCTTTAATTTCTCATTAAAAATATGATTCTTGCTGTCTAAAGAAAAAACATTAATGATTTTAAAGACAAAAAAAAACTGTGGGTTTTCATGGGTCTGGAATTGTATAAAACTGCAACTAATTTGGCGGTAAGTTAATTTGTTCTTCTTTGCGTTCATTAGCTGTAATCTCTGGCGGAAAGTTCTGGCTGTTCATCCACTTTTGAACTGCAGTCCTGTTCCGGAACCTGAGTGTTGCGAGTGCATCTGTTTTACAGATCTGACTTATTTGTGTGCAGACTGCTGGTTCCATGCCTATCAGGCAGATGCACTCCGACTTCGAAGGAAGCTCCCAATTGGTCGACTCTTACGACATGCTTTTGGGTAGGCAGTGGGTCCATTCCTGTTTTCCCTATAACAGGGCCCCGGAAACCACTAATAAATCAGTGATCATTAATAGTTTTTGCATAGATCATGATCTCACTGACTCAAACGCCTTTGGTTGATTTGATTTGATTCAAGAACCGACATCACAGCACTCGGGGCATTCCCATAAGCGCTGTGTCCCCATCTTCAGCAGCCAGCGAAAAGTTCCGATACTAATGGTAAAACGTCTTTGGTTTCTTAGTGCAATGTTTACTGAGATCCTTGGAGATACATTCTGTACTTTGCCACTCTCTGGAGGAGAACTGAGCCATAAGGGACAAAACCCGGTGCAATGAAGCTGATCCTTTTAATTTTAAACTTTAAAGGGGAAGCCTTCATCACCCATACCAGTCTACCGGGCGTGTGATGATGATGCTTTTCATCTTCTTCTTGGCATTCACTAGCTGTAGACTTGGGTGGAGAGTTTGGGTTTCGTTGGTTCACTTCTGGGCTTTATTCTTGTTCCAGAACTTGAGTTTGGCATGATGCAGATCTGGCTTAGTTGCCTGTAGACTTGGGTGGAGAGTTTAGGTTTCGTTGCTTCACTTCTAGACTTTATTCTTGTTCCAGAACTTGAGTTTGGCATGATGCAGATCTGGCTTATTTGCCTAAGACTGTTGGTTTCTTGCCTCTTAGGCAGATGCACAATTCGAAAAAAAAACCTTAATAAGTTAACTCTTATGACCTACATGTTAGGGAAGCGGTGGGTTTTTTCTTCCCCACCCCAACAAAACATACACAGGGAATGATGATAATGATGGGGACAATATGATTTTGATCAACCATACTCACCAGCTGCTATGCCATATTTCTCGTAACCACTAGGGAAATGAATGTAGTCTGAGATTCCAGACACAGCAAAGCCTATAGTTGCCACCACAACTCCAAACCAAACATAATATCGAAGCTGTTGTGCCAGAAAAGCCAGCGATAATAATGCCGTAAATAATACAACAGTACCTGTAAGACAATAATAAAGAAAACATATACTGGCAACAAAGAGAAACATAAAGTAATAAAAGTCAAATATAATTATTTCATAGTATAAAACAAGTTATTGGGAATATCCACTGCAATCTAACTTTTCCAGCTTATACAGGAGTTGAACTGAGTTAATAAAGAACTGACATCATAGCATGCAAAGCATTCACATAAGCGCTCAAGTCTTTATCTTCAGCAGCTAGCACAGAGTTCCAAAACCAATTGTACAAGCAGCAGTCTGATTATATGCCCGTCTTGCATTTCCTCTGAGAGTCGAGTATCAGCCAGATCCCCTTGCAACTTATCGTTGCATTACTCTCAACAGACTGTAATTATCAATTTGCTCCTCTGAATTACACACGTGCTCCCATAAGACCTTAAACACATCTGCTTATCACTCACCAGTACTTCACGAAGTTGTGCGAAGCCAGCCAATCTGTCTGCCTTTTCATTTTCCAACACACCAGCATCCCCTGGAGAACAGATCCAGACAATGCTCTTCAGCTGTGACCTCCAAAATGAAGAATGCCTATCCTCACCTTTCTCAGTATGCTTTCTGACAGCTACACTCAGAAAGAGAGAGTGTGAGTTTGAGTGAGTGAGTAAGAGAAAGTGAGTGAGTGGGTGAAAGAGAGTGGAGAGTTAGTGAGTGAGAGGGAGTGAGTGAATGAGTGAGAAAAAGAGAGTGAATGAGTGAGAGAGAGAGAGAGAGAGAGAGAGAGAGAGAGAGAGAGAGAGTGAATGAACATGTGTGTGTGTGAAAACACACATCTAGAACTGGGCCTAACCCCAACCCACCTACGTCCCACGACAGAGTGCAGCCTAGGTCCCATGACTGCATGCAGTCTAGATCCCACGACTGAGTGCAGTCTATCGACCACCCCCTAAAATATCTGACTGTCTGTTTGGGGGGAGATATTGGAATAGAACCGAATTTTATTGAAGAAGAGTTAGCTGCATGTGCAATAGATGTCTGCAGAAGGTGGATGTGTTGGTCTTCCCCATGTGTGTTCTGGGGCCCTACTGTGGGGGAAATCAAGAACAGACCCAATGCCTACTCAAAATCATGTTGTAAGAGGGGACTAACTGGAAGTCAGAGTACATCTGCCTAAGAGGCAAGGAACCAACAGTCTGCAGACAAATGAGTCAGATGTGTATAATGGATGTACATGCAACACTCAGATTCTAGAATAGGACTAGAGTCTAGAAGTGGATGAACAACCAGAACTCTCCTCTGGAGTGTACAGCTGGTGAAGGAGAGAAAGAAGAAAGATGTGTAGACTGAAAGACACAAAGTTCACAGTCATAGTGTAAATGGGGGCAAAAGCTGAATGGTCATAAACCATGAGGTAGAACAAGAAAAACATGGAGCGATAATATCCAGGCCGACCTAAAATCACTTGGTGTCACCAGCTGGAAACAGAAAGCCAGCCACAGAGGGGATAAAGGTTGGTGATATCTGCAGCTGTGAACCTTAAGCTCAAGGGCTCGAAATGCTGAAGAACAAAATGTAAATGGGCACAACATATTTACATCCTACCACAGAGCTACAAGGAAACCAAAACAGCCCTAAAGCAGTCTTTCAAGGGGGAGTGGAGAAGGCAGAATCTAGATTACAGACCACAGAGTGACAGCATCAACAAACTCAACAGGAAAGAACAAACAACAATTTTTAGGCTTCTGACAGGACGCGGTGGTCTTAGAGCACACCTGCAGAGGATAGGCATAAAAGGATCTGCTGCCTGTGATTGTGGAGCAGAAAGACAGACTCCTGAGCACATTCCGCAGGACTGCCCTAACTACTCACAGAAAATATTGCGGATCTGGTCCCAAGGGAGCTACACTACAAGAGAAGCTGTGGGGAACTGGCAGCAACCTTAAACGCAAAAACGCTCTTTGTGAAATGTTCAGAGTGCTAGTCACCAGCAGCTCACCTTTCAGCATGATGAAGCTGGAACTGTAGGTCAGCTTCAGCCCGAAGTACAACAAGAGTACATGTGCCAGTGCAAAAAATGCTGGGGGGAAATAGACTAGTTTTGATGGCTTCTTGTTGATGCGTCTGTTACGTACGACCTCATCTTGGGGTGGCGCCACCTCATCTCTAACAGCAGGATCATTTGCTGGCGGTAGTCTCTCCATGGCCTGAACTCCTGCAAGTGCATTTCCTGTCAAAGAATCGTACAAGCGTTGTCAAATTTTTTTTCATAATATGACAATCATGTGTTTATAAATCAGCTATAAATTCACTGCAATGGGGACCTAGATCACCACCGTGGTGTGGTAGCTCACGAGGATCAGAATGTCCTGTGATCAGGTCTGACTTTTTTCAAAAATGACCTTAGCTCTCAGGTCAACCCAGCCTTGAGTAGGTACTAGGTGCAGTCCTGGGAAGTAAAGGTAGCTGGCGTGATGCTGACCACATCACACATCTTGTGTCGATTGGTCTTTAAAAATATAGGTCTAGCCCTATATGCCCTATACGCCTAAAGGCGTGGAAAAGGGTCCTTTACTTTACTTTACTTACTCAGGACACAACCATATATGCTCTGCTTTCGTCAGATGTCAGTAAGTACAGATGCTCTTTGACTTCTTAACTAAATAAAAATGTGCCCCTATTAGTGATTATCTTCATCTACATTAGCCTGTTTCCTGAAAACTAGAGCCCTTGAGGCCAACAAATCAGATGGCTCTTTGTAAGAACTCCTGCACAACCTAGACAAAAATCTCTTGAGACCACCATATCAGCTGGCCGATTACCTCAAAACCCTGCATAATCTGCAAAAAAGATCTTCCCATGATCTTGAAAAAAGATGTCTGAAGATGTGATCAGTCATAGCCGACAGAGACACTGACTGAGGACTTCTTCAAGTTCACTGGCTGTAAACTCTGGCGGAAAGTTTTGATTGTTCGTCCACTTCTGGACTGCAGTCCTGTTTCAGAATCTGAGTGTTGCGTGTGCATCCATTTTACAGATCTCATTTGTGTGCAGACTGTTGGTTCCTTGCCTCTCTGGCAGATGCACTCTGACTTTGAAGGAAGCTCCCAATTAGTCGACTCTTGTGACATGCTTTTGGTAAGGCAGTGCAGTGGGTCTATTCTTGTTTTCCCTATAATAGGGCCCTGGAAGCCACACAGGGAATTGAGAACTGAATTTCTGCATCTCTAGAATAAAGCATACAATGATCTGGAGGTGTTGCAGACGATTTTTTATCTTCAGTACATGGTGTGAACCCAGATAGCTGTGATTTTACAAATACCGCTGCTTTACCTTAAACTTGCTTAACACAAGCTACAATTAATTTTAATAAATAATTTTTTTTTTAAATTAGGTAAGCATAGAAAAAAGAGGCTCATAATCTAAAAGTGGTGAGGAGTGCAACATTATCTTAAAGGCATAAGAATGTTGTCTTCTAGCTATGACATAAACTATAAAAAGCTATCAAACAAAACGAATCTCTCTTCTGCCTTTCTATCCCCCAATGGAGCATAGGCCCTCAACTAACTCATGCCAAGTCGTTCTATCCTTTGCTATCGCATGGAGCTCTCCCCATGTCCTTCATATCTTTCTAACTTCATTCTCCAGCTCTCTTCTGAATGTGTTTTTTTTTGGCCTTCCTTTATTCCTATGCTCCTGTGGGTTCCAATGCAAAGACATTCTAGTTATGCTGTTCTCCTGTTTTCTCAATGTATGTCCTATCCAAATCCAGCGTCTTTTCCTCACCTCTTGGTCCACTGGAGCTTGCTTAGTTCTCTCCCAAAGCTCTACATTAGTTATTCTATTATACCATTTAATCCCTTCTATTCTGCGCAGACACCAGTTAATGAATTTCTGTAGTTTATTAGTAATTGCCTTAGATGTTCTCCATGTTTCCGTCCCATACAAAAGTACTGATTTGACATGAGAATTACACATTTTAAGTTTAGTATTTCTTTTAATTTCAACAAAATGAATACCTCGGTTTCTCTCTCCATGCATGAAGCGAGAGCAACCAAACCAATCATTTTGTATGAACTTCCACACGAGGAGAAGACTCAACTGGAGCAGTTGCTGCAGAGTCCACTGATGGCAGAGATTAACATAACATTCATTCATGTATACATACCAGCTTGGCTGAGTGAAAACTAAATCATCATATATATAAACAATAGTATGGCAATGAGCAGTTCAGATCTACTAATGAGATTTGAAAATTTAGTCCAAAGATTAGATTTTTTTTTCTTCTTCTTAGCGTTCACCGGCTGTAAACTCTGGTGGAGTAAGTAAGTAAATTTTACCCCACCAGGACATCACACAGAGCGATAAACACCCAGTGACACATAGTGCCACCATGCGGATGAAGAACACCTGTGGAGACGTCCCAGAAACCATGTTCAGCCTTCAGGCTATATTGAAGCCCCAGCAAAAGGCTGGGTGGGACTTCAAAATAAGGAAAAATTGTGCCCCACATGGGAATGACTTTAATATATTCCAAGTGAACTCTGGTGGACATTTCTGATTGTTCCTCAACTTCTGGACTTTGGTCTAGAGCCAGAACTCGAGTTTTGCATGCACATACGTTTTAGATGTGGGTGTCTCGGATGCAGCAAGATTAACACTGCTAAAACTGACCCTAAACCCTGTACCCTGGGAGCAAGACACAGTACAGACAATGACTTCAGTCAGTTGACTCACAGCTGCCGATGAGTCCAATGAACATCAAAAAAAGAATCAGCTGCTCTTAGCATGATCCAGGAAAACTATCCGTGGATACACGCTTACACAGATGGATCAGCAACCATTGCGGTTATAAATAGGGGTGCTGACATCTTTATCACATACCCAGACGACTACCGCCACTGGTAAATTCTGTTCCAACTACACAACAGAGATTCTAGCACTAGAGCAGGCTGCCGGAATGATACACAACACCAGTTCTGACCGCTACTAAGTGGCCAGGTTCACAGATGCGCTATCGGTGCTCCAAACCAACAAAAGTGGTAAACTCCCTCACCTGAGATCTGAACTTAGCAAGGTGGCTGCTCAAAATCTCCAGTAGGTGCCATGCTGCTGTGGTATAGCAGGAATGATAAGCTTGCTAAGAAAGGGGTAGAATGTGAACAGGAAGAGAATGGAGCAACACACTCTGAGAAGAAAAGGGCCATCCAGTCTATCAGAAGTGAACACAGTCTGGCCAGAGACGATACTTGACTGGCATTGGCAGGTCATTATTCTACACCCCAGGACAGGACACAACAAACTTAACAAGCGCATACACAGGCTTCGTCTAAGTAGTTCACCATTGTGCCCTTGTGGGCTGTGACTAAAAACAGTAAAGTTCATGACAAGAACTTGTCTGTCTGTGAAAAATCAGAAAGTGAACACAAGAGGAAGAAGAAGAAGCAAAGTCTTGCATGGACTAGATCAGCGGTTTTCAATCTTTTTCAAGTGGTGTTCTCTTGGATTATGGCAAGCCCCCCCCCCCCCCCCCATCCCCCCCACCACACAACTTTAATGAGTAGGTAATTAAAATGAGGACAACAAGTAAAGTCACAAGAATTATTAACTAGAACTTGGAGAAAAATATCCACATAAATCACAGTATCAAATAAAATATAAGAAACAATTAGCAACAACTGGTAATTTAGTGCCCAGATATCAATGTGATGTTTGACACTGTCTGTCTTGATGATATCTGCTATTTCTGGTCTAGTGATTAGCGGTTAGAAAGGATTATCATCACAACACTCCTGACAGATCCACAGGTGCTCCGGTCTCCTCCTCAAAAGCTCCACAAGTGTAAAACGACTGATGACGCCTATTCCGTGTTGGTTAATGAAATGTCTTGTCCTCTTAGTGAAATGTTCATTTCTTGCAGCTCCAGGCTGCACCCCCATGTAAATCAGTCTAGACAGGGATGTGGAGTCATGTCCTTTGGCGAGCTCCTCGGTACGGTAAGTGCAGCACATAGCATTGATAACATCACTTCTGTCCAGTACTGGGCCAGCCATAGCAACCACAGTGTCAGCAAGATAGTCTGCACACTCGTTCCCTTGAACACCTGCATGACCTGGCACAAAGATGAAAGTTAGGGTAGATATTTGTGAGTGCCTGGTGTTTCAATCAATCCATTCTTGCCTGATAAATCCAGCTAGGATTTTTTTTTAAAACATATTCATCAAGTCACTAAGAAAGCATACATGTGTGAACTTTTGAGTACCAAGCCATGCCAAAGCCCTTGTAACAGCCATAGTTTCCATTGTAAGGTTACTAGTTGTAACAGCAAAGGTGTCATTCATCTCCTTGATGGTTTTCCCCCTTGAGCTTACTGTGAAGACCCATGCACTTCACTTGCCCTGATTTACTGACCCATCTGTGTAAACTACAGCATCACCTTTATCTGTGTTTTCGTCAGTCAGTGTTCTGACTAAAGTGTCAACAATGTCAGGAATCTGCTCTCTACAGCTTCCGTCAAGTGTGATATGGACTGTAATATTAATGTTTGGAGAGGGAGGCATAATTATCCATTTATTTCCAAAATTAATGTCAGTAAGGTAGCAAACATGTTCAATGGCATCCTCAGCCCGACCCTTCCAGGATTTGCCTCGTCTGAGTCTACTCTTTTCTTGCTTGAATAATTCCTCATAAAGTGGGTGTCGATGGTCTGACGTCACTTTGAGGAAAGCAATAGCCCTGGATAGCTTGATTCTGTTTTCCATTGTGGGTAAATCCAAGAGGTATCGCATGGATTTACAGGAGGTGTCTCTAGTGGATCCAAGAATATTACGCATTGCCTCGTTTTCAATTTGTTTCCAGTCTGTTCATTTGTGTGGTTCTGAGTGTCATGATGGCCAAGGCATATTCAATGGTGGAGAGAAATAATGCACAATACAACATTACAAGTAGCTATTTCTGGTCTGAAGTTGGACAAGGCACAATGGAGATCACTATCCACATAAAGCTGGTGCATTGTTTTGTTTCTTAAAAAAAAAAAATAACACTGTCAGCATAAACAATTGTTGTCTGCTCTATGGCTTAGGTGTTGTGAATGCACTTCATAAGCAAGGTTGCTGGGTTCCAGCCTAGATGCAGGTGATTTGGCAACAAACTTGCATTGGTTTTGACAGTAGTATCCAGAGTCGAATGCTCAGAGAGCAATGGCAAACAAGTGAATGGAAATTTGCCTAGAAAAACCACAACAGCAAAAAGAAAATGATGGGGTTAGTTCTGCAACGTCCTGTAAAGGATATGCTGCTAACTTTAACAGATTCAACGAATACAAAGGCACTCAATTGCTTGACCCTCCCACCTATCCCAAATCCCTTGCGTCCCCCAAGTTGAAGATAATCAAATCATATGAAGCAGAAGCGGAGGAGGATGTGAAATGAAAAAGCATACCATGACAAACAAGTGATCAAACTTGTGTGGTTTTCTCGTGATGACTCCTTGAACCACCAACTCCCGCTGCCATCTGGAGACAATACCAATTAATTGTTACCACATTCAAGAATGTTTTATAGAAAAATGGGCTACCCTCCGAATAACAGGCACAAAAGATGGTGGCCAAAAACAGGGCCTCAGTCATGTGTCAATTGCGCACTTCCGGCCACCTAATTTGTCCTTTTCCAGCGACTACCGCCACCGCCAAGAGTTTCCCCCCACGCGGCGTGGATTGGGGCTAAACTAGATGGCTGGGACTCGTGAGCAAAGCTGCAGGAGATGCGGAAGCTGCTGCTGGTCAGTCCCAGCCATCTAGTTTAGCCCCAATCCACGCCGCTCATGCGGCGTGGGGGATACTCTCGGCGGTGGCAGTAGTCGCCGGAAAACCGCAAATTAGGTCGCCTGAGGTGCGCAATTGACATGTGACTGAGGTGCTGTTAGGGTGTTTTTGCGGCCGCCATCTTTTGTGCCCGTTATTCTGAGGATAGCCGAAAAATGCATGCATGAGACACACAGACACACACATACACACTATCTCTCTCTCACACAGACACACACAAACTGACAAACACCCACACTTATACATACACACACAATACACAATGATATATGACAAGCTGGATGTTGTGAGGGCCCTTTATGAGCGAGTGAACAGTACCGAGGAACAGATAGATCATTACGGTCTGAGGAGAATGGCACTGCAAGGAGTTACAAGGGGATCTGGCCGATGCTCTACACTTGGGGGAGGGGCGAGAGGGATATACAATCAGACTGTTACTGGTACCAACGGAATTTCAACTCTTCGCTTGCTGCTGAAAATGGGGACTGAGTGCTTATGGGAGTGTTCCGAGTGCTGTGATGGCGATTCTTAATTAAACATTCAACACGATACACAAACATCACTTACTCTCTCTCCCTCTTTTTCACAGACACACACACCTACACTCACACACAAACCCCCCACACAAATAATGACAAATAAACACACACACATACTTGCTCTCTCTCTCTCACATCCACACACATACACGTTCCCACACAAACCCAAACATCCAATTTATCCATTGTATAGTTTTGCTTCGAACTACCTTACATGTGTTACAGCTACTTCAGTGTCCTCAAATGGTTTCTCTGATAATGTTATTTCCGGTTTCACTGAAATTGGGAGAACTGTCCTAATCTTTTTTAGCAAATGATAGCATAAGGATGTGGGCTTATGTGCTATAGTATTTATGTAGCAGGCGTGCCAATACAAAGAAAACATGGGGTAGGTAGGTGTTTTGCTGGAGGGAAAAATTGTCACATTCAACCAACATCCCTGAAGGGTGAGCTTTAGGTTATAATTGTGACTTTCCTGTGTGGGTTCTGTGGCCCTGTATTAGGGAAAACAAGAATAGACCCACTGCCTACCCAAAAGCAATTTGGAAGAGTCAACTAATTGGCAGCTTCCTTTAAAGTCAGAGTGCATCTGCCTGAGAGGCAAGGAACCAGCAGTCTGCATACAAATAAGTCAGATCTGTAAAATGGATGAACAAGCAACACAGGTTCTGGAACAGGACTGCAGTCCAGAAGTGGATGAACAACCAGAACTTTCCGCCAGAGTTTACAGCTGGTGAACGCGAAGAATAAGAAGAAAATTGTGACTCAAGTTATGTCAGCGATATAAAATAGCCTAGCACTGCATGCCACCAAGAGTCATGAAAAGGATTCCTGCATTGTTACTGCAATCGGCGAGGAAGTTGTCTACTGACCAGCCAATTGGCGACCATTCGCAGAGGTACATGGATAGGCCCTTTTCTAGTCAAAAATGTAGGCGGAATCTGGTCCCTTGAGACCAAACACATTTTTAAACAAAAACAAACACATTGTTCTAATTGCTATTATTAATAATATCATTATTATTGTTACTCTTATTTTTATATTTAATAATATTATTATTGATGTCCCCCCTTGTGGGTTCCAGGGCCCTATTATAAGAAAAACAAGAACAGACCCATTGCCTATCCAAAAGCATGTCGTTAGAGTGGACTATTTGGGAGCTTCCTTCAAAGTGCATCTGCCTGAGAGGCGAGGAACCAACAGTCTGCACACAAATGTGTCAGGTCTGTCATACTGATGCATACGCAACACTCAGGTTCTGGAACAGGACTGCAGTCCAGAAGTGGACGAAAACCCATAATTTTTCTGACAAAGTTTGCAGCTGATGAACGCAAAGCAGAAGAAGAAGAAGAAGAAGAAGAAGAAGAAGAAGAAGAAGAAGAAGAAGAAGAAGAAGAAGAAGAAGAAGATTACTGCTGTGGTGAATGACAGATAAATATAATAATATACTTGGAATAATAATACGAAATGTATAAACAACCACAAACGGGCCCCACAAACAAATACTTATAAAGTTAACATAAAAAAAATCACCTGTTACTTAAGGCATAAATAACACCAACAAACACAAAAGCCAGGCCTAGGCAGACATCGTTTCGTGTAGGTCCTGCCATGTTTAGTTAGCTATCTGCCTAACACGGATGTTCTCATTCTCATTAAACCAAATGTGTCTAAAAAAGCTTCCCGTTTCTCCACACAGCTGGGGGGAAACTTTGCCGGTCTAAAAATACTCTTTACTTCCTTATAGTTATAGCTGTTTACTAGTCAGGGGCGTAGATAAGGCCCATCCACGACAGTCTCTCTAGAAGAATGTGGACCAAACGTGTTGGTTGCTAACAATGGTCAAGTGCGTATCCAGTCCAAATTTGTCTGCTTAGTAAGGCATCGTGATAAAAAGACAGCGGCGTATATCAGAGGTAATTTTGCAGGTTGTTGGGATTTCATGTTAGTAGTGAAGGGCGTAGTCGGCTCTGTGGCTAAATAGATGCGGGTTCGATCCCAGCTGCGGGTTCGATCCCAGCTGCGGGCCATGCGCTGGTTTCGACAGTGGTATCAAGAAAGCCTACCGTCCAGTAAGCAATGGCAAACTACTGGACGTAAATTTGCTTTAAAAAAAGACATAACAGTCAGGGGCTGTTGGGGGTTGGTTCTGCAACGTCTTGTAAAGGATACGCAACTAACTAACCTTAGTAAAGGGCGTACATGGATCTGTCAAAAACACTAGTTCTTGAAAATAATGCTTGTGCGCGTGTGTGCGTGTGTGTGTGCGTGCGCGCTCTTGTGCGCGCGTGTGTGGGTTGATTAACATCATTCCATTGGCAAACACAAACACACAAAAACTATATCCTCACAACTTATGTGCTGGGAATGGTAAAAGAGGGGTGGGGGAGGGGTGAAATATTGAATTAGGTACGGGGGAGAAGGGCTACCAGGTCTCGAGACATGGCGTTCACCTCGAGTGCTGGAGGTCCTGGGTTCAGGTGTAGGCTGGGTTTTTTTTCACGTGGACTTTTAATAATTTCCCCTGGTCTATGGGTAGTAAGATTGGACGCCCGTGTATAATGTTGCGCACGTAAAAAGAATCCCTTGGCAGTTTGAAATCGAAAAAAGTAGCCTAGCCGGTGCTACGGAGTTCGTGCACTGTGGTGAGATTCTTCAGACTCAGGCTTGAGTTAGAAGTAGTACGCAGCACTTATGGGTTAATACCCTTGTGCCAGGATGTTGATCCGTTGTTTAAACCTTTTTGAATTAGGTTAGTTGGAGGAGCCATTGGCCAAGTGGCAATAACGTCGACTCTCACGAGAGAGACCCGGGTTTGAACCCCGGGAAGGTGGTGGAGTTCTTCTATCGGTGCCAAAGTTAAACATCCTAACCTGCTCGACAGCACTAGCCATGCGGCCCTAAAACCTCAGGCTCACGACCCCCTGTCTACACCGCCTAAGAAGTTGTAAAACAGACAGTAGGGACATTTTTTAAGGGTATTCTGAATGGGAAGCTGCAGAACCAGGCCCTTTTAAACGATATTAGGCGTATTGAGCATATAGGGCTAGACCTTTATTTTACAGACCTATCGCCACTTTGTGGATTATGTGGTCAACATCATGTCGGCCGCCTTTACCTTCCAGGACTCCCAGGACCACTCAAGGCTGGGTCGACCTGGGAGCCAAGGTCATTTTTGAAGAAAGCCCGGTTCCGCCAGGACCCGAACTCAAACCTTCTGATCCGCAGGCGAGAGTCTACCCGCTACACCACGGCGACTTTCCCTAGGCAAGCTTACTGAAAGTAATTTGTAATGATAGCAGAAATTCCAGGGAAATTTGACTAAAATGCTTAATCAAATGGGGAAGCAGAAAAACGTGCGAAAAACTACACAGATAACGTAACATTTTGGCCGGGCAGCTTTTGTCAAACATGAAGTGAACTACACAAAGGTAACACCGAGTATAGGGTCCATTGAGAGCAGTGATTTCTGTGCGGTGGTCCCTAGATACCACTGATTTCTGAGCTGTGGTCCCTAGATACCGTTGATTTCTGAGCTGTGGTCCCTAGATACCACTGCTTTTTGAGCTGTGGTCCCTAGATACCGTTGATTTCTGAGCTGTGGTCCCTAGATACCACTGCTTTTTGAGCTGTGGTCCCTAGATACCGTTGATTTCTGAGCTGTGGTCCCTAGATACTACTGCTTTCTGAGCTGTGGTTCCTAGATACCACTGCTTTCAGAGCTGTGGTCCCTATATTCCGTTGGTTACTGAGCTGTGGTCCCCAGATACCGTTGATTTCTGAGAGTTGTCTCTAGTTACCATTGCCGAAATCAACACAAGGCGGTCTGACTGTTAACCGGCCCGCCGGTTTACTTCGGAATCGTTTTATGACGCCTGAATATCACTGCTGTGCAGCTATTTGCTTTTAGACTTTTACGATCGAACAAGGCTTGCTGGTTTGTACATTTTGGGGGTGTGGGGGGGGGGGGGGTCGAGGACCTGAGCCTCTAAGTTCCAGCCCTTATATGTGAAGGTTGGGTATAGCAAGCTTAGCACTACTTCGACCGGCAACTCTAGGGGAAACATAATTTGTTGTAACTTGACATTGGTTTAACTATTTTCTGTAGGGGATATAATCCTTTCGAAGTTCAAGATCGCATAAGGTAGGTAGGTAGGTAATTGTACCCCACCAGGACATCACACAAGCGATAAACACCCGGTGACACAAAGTGCCACAATGTGGATGAGGATAACCGTGGAGAGTTCCCAAAAACTATTAGACCATATTTATGGCCGGGCTATATTGCGGCCCCTGGCAATAGCCAGGGGGGGGGGGGGGGGGGGTGGCTTCAAAATAACAAAAAATAACATCAAAATATCAACAAACACAGACAACCGATTGTCTCCCTTATGGTCGCCGTGAACAAACAGTAGATACTAATTACTAGATTGCGTCCCGCCAGGGTAGCCGTTCGTAGGAGTGCCGCAAGCTCTCATTACCGCCTGTCAGGAATAGACGCTGCCCCAATATAAATGGGCTCTATGGCTATGAGGTTGAATGGAGTTTCCGGGATTTGCATTCTCATTCTCAAGACGATTATTCTACAGACTGTATTTCTAAAAGGTGAAAAACTAAAATTATTTGGAGTTTGATGTAGACGGCTCGTTGGTCTAGGGGTATGATTCTCGCTTAGGGTGCGAGAGGTCCCGGGTTCAAATCCCGGACGAGCCCAAATTTTTTTTTTTATATGATCGGTTTAATTAGCGTGTTGCGAAATAATAGTGTATTTTGTGTACACATTGCCCTTAACAATTAGGTTTCACCAAGACCGACAGTAATTGCTACGTCCAGCAATGTATGGAAAAATTGTCACTTTCAACAACTGAGTACTTATTATGATTGGGATGTCTGTACGGCGAATTTCTTTTATCTGTTTGACTAATAATTTCTGTACCCCTGAAAAATAAAATAAACAGTAATTAACACATGCGTGGAGATCGTTTGGAAATCCGTTCGCTTGAGTAGCGATGCAGGGTGGTGATTTTTTATAGCATTTTTCCCACTCAATTAAAAATTCGTAACCCACAGGAAACTTATGCAAAAGATGACCACCTGAGAGTAAAACGTCCATGACACGTGTGTAATGTGATGTTTTGAAAAGTTACCTTACTCAAGAATGAACATCAGAGTTAACAGTGCTATTGACGAAGCTCATCAACAAATGTTATAACTCCCCCTGACACTTCGATGAGGTACAAGGTGGAAGAGAAGAAGACGAAGAAGAAGAAGAAGAACAAGAACAAGACCCTACTCAACTCACTGTAAGCATCACGATTGTTTGCTTTGAATCTTTCTAAATTGTTTAATTTACCGCAAATAAGGCAAAACGGAAAATAAATATTTGCTTACATTTTTTTTAAAGTTACCTACAAGGGCATTATTTTGAACGGATTGCATGCCAGGTTTCAGCAACCTACTCCTAACGGTTCCTGGGTTACAAATAGAAGCCTAACCTTCGGGGATCATGTGGTGGCAAATTCGATTAAACGCCAAGAAGGACTCAATGCTCTCAAGATTATGGCAGCAATAGACATGGAACACAGAATGCTGTTCACAATGTTCCAGCATGTGATCCTGCCAGTGATAGGTTATGGACTGCTACCAAAATCATATCTCAGAGTAGCTGCAGACAAGAAGCACCTCCTGCATGAAGCCCTATATGGAGCTAAGAGACACAGACTGAAAAGAGGATGGCACTAGCCGAAGACACAATTAGAGGCTGTTGTGCTTGATGAGAAGTATCCAAACACCACTTGGACTCAGGTTTTCACCGACGGCTCTGCTACAGATGCAGTCAGAAAGGGGGGTTGTGGAATTTACATTAAACCCCCTAGCAGTAGAGCAGAAACTCTCTCTCTACTAGCAGGTGATATCTGCACTAACTTCAGAGCTGAGGCAACTGCTCTCCTCTCTGCAGTCCAACATCTCATCACTCAAGAACACAGAGGGCACCAAATTGTTATACTTAGCGACTCATTGTCTGTTCTCCAAGCACTATCCAGCAAAAAACAAGACAAAATAATTGCTGATCTAAGGACCAACATTGGCTTACTCTCCAAGGAAGCAGAACTGGTCTTGCAGTGGATACCAGCCCACTGTGGTATTCAAGGAAATGAGAGAGCAGATGAGTTGGCAAAAGCTGGGAGTAATCTTCCACAACCTCATCCACCACACAGCTACAAGGAAACCAAAACAGCGCTAAAGCAGTCTTTCAAGCGGGAGTAGAGAAGGCAGAATGGAGATTACAGACCAGAGAGTGACAGCATAAACAAACTCAACAGGAAAGAACAAACATCAATTCTTAGACTTCGGACTGGACACTGCGGTCTTAGAGCACACATGTACAGGATAGGCATAAAAGAATCTGCTGCCTGTGATTGTGGAGCAGAAAGACAAACCCCTGAACACGTACTGCAGTACTGCCCTTACCTCTCCCAGCAAAGACTGTGGATCTGGCCCGAAGGAGCCACATTGCAAGAGAAGCTATGGGGGACCGGTGGCGACCTTAAACGCACAATCCTATTTGTGACCCAGACGGGACTCAATGTTTAGCATGACTGATATCGAACGC